TTCAACTTCTGGAGAGAGCTTTTTCCGCGGGCCAAGTTTGTCATCAGTGTGTTACACCTGCGTTTCTTGTGTAATATAAGAGGTTACACCGAGTGTGAATTATGGAGCGCGCCCTCAAGAAGACACCTGTCGAAACAAAGGGTTCTACGCCCAAGTCAGCTGTTTCCCGTTTTGTTTTTCGAAACAGGAAAAGGGCAAGATTTTCTTGTGGCAAGCGACTTGGTACTAGCCATAATGTGCGTGTATGTTTCTTCCATCTGACACAACATCTTCTACAACTAATATGCGGAAAAGTTTCTACGAAAATGAAGAGCAAATTATCCCTAATAAATTATTTGAAAATTCGTGCAATATAATTATATGGTAAATTAGATAAAAAAAACAGCCTTTCACCTTTACATGAATTAATTAAACCGCTTTTGAAACAAAAGAAATTCAGTGCTTTCAGATCTTCTGGACCAACGAAATGATTAACTTCCACTAAAACTATCAATACATGTACATGTATGTGCTCCGAAGGTAATTTTTGGGGTCTTGCGTGTGACATCGACCAACTCTCCACTACCAGCGACACAGACTGTGTACATTACCGATGTGGTAGGCAGTATATTTACTTGTAGTAGTGTACCTGTATATGTACAATATGGCAACAATCCTGAAAATTAAACTGAAGCCAAGCAAAATGTATATTTGAGATACAGTTTGCATGTAAATTTAAATTACAATACACGGCGAAAATCAAGTTTAGAAATACACATCAAAAGTTTGTGTATAGAGAAATGTAACATGATGAGTGCTACGTGACTGAAAAATATAAGCAAAACTTGTATAGTGACAGGTTTTCAAGTCTAATGGAGCTGAGAGAAGTCTTGGTTCTCTTCAATAAACAGCATGGCCTTTGCAAGGTCATATTCAGCTTTTTGCTTCTGTAGAAACGCATGGGTGCCTTCCCCGAAACAGTACATGCTCGCCATATCATGTAGGTTTCAACTTAGAGAAAGAAACTTTGTGTCTTTACACACTTATTGACGTATGAATAAAAAATGTTAACGAAACAGTTAGCATAACAGAAAAGAACTCCAATTGGCAGTGTGTTTCTGGATTTGTACGAGAAAAATGTGCACGGTAAAACAATGCACATTTATGTATAAACTCAGACCACGACAGACGAAAAGCTAAATTACAATATCAAATGCGTGACAGCATGCAAAATCACGTAAGCAGGAAAGTCACCATAAGCTCAGCCTTCTTTGCTTCAACATCTCCTGAATCTTATTTTGCTGTGGCGTATTCAAAAACCTTAAGATTTTGGCATACTCGTTTGACACATAATGGCGTGGTACCATTTCAAATTCCAGGTCATATCTGGGACCCCCGAATTTTATTTACTGTCACGCCGGTGAGAAGCACCAAGAGCAGAACTGCCCAGTCCAAGTATTAAATGTTAAGTGGTTGTTACCTTGTGGCCTAGTTACTGAAACGCATGCGACCATCATGGTACGTGGCAATGATGTAATAGTGTATATGTTGACCGCACCCAGACTGTGGACAGACCGACGACGCCATCAGGTGTGTGCTGGCGCACTGCTTGCACATGACCATGTGTCCGCAAGGGGCAAAGACCACGCGGGCAATGCAATCCGGACGAAGGCAGACCTTACACATCATCTTGTATTTCAGTGCACGGTATTCCATGATGGTACCTGCATTTACTTGGAAAAACAAATAAATGAGTGGTTCAAATAACCACTCAAGACAAATTATGATTTGATATTGGGTTCCGTTCAAGGTGTTGTAGTTCATAGTTATGTGAATGGCGTGTGCCTAAACACTTTGAAGGCCAAGGATTCTTTATACACGTACATATAAATGAGACAGTGGTATGTTTAATGTGTCTGCATCACATTTAAAAAGAACATTCCATGTTTTTGTCTGTTTGTTTCTATATGACTGGCTGTCTGTCTGGTTGTTTGTTTGTTTGTTTGTCTGTTTATAGAGGTGCTGAGGTGTTTGTGTGGGTGTTCTTTTTTTCCGACTAGGGAGCAAAGCGAGCTCACGCTCAGAGTTCTTGCGGCATAACGTTCGACAGCAAACCCAAAGACCCACAATGGCAAGAAAAAAAAAAGTACGAGTATGTCAGAAAGGAAAATGGCGACCAAACGTGCAACATGCAGCCTCATGTCGGGTCTTGTTTTTTTCCCCACAAGCTTTCGGGGAAACACTGAGTATCCGGTGCTCACGGATATTCCTGCCCCTCACTTAGTTGGTGCGCATGCGCACTGAATCCCACTACCGCGCCAGAAGCCAGTAAAACGGTTCTTGACTCGGGTGGGGGTACCCCAAAAGTAATCGGTCAACATCAAGCTCAGATGAAATTTGTTTGCCCCTCATTTCCTAACCGATTAGAATTAATTTTTCAAATTTGCGTTTGCTTACTTGCAAACTGTGAAAGTCCATTTTTACCAAATTTTTGCCCGTCGTTGTCACGTGCCTCCAAAGTAACAGAGTTAGAAGTTTGAGGTGAAGCCAACATTTTAGAGGGTTTTTTTTTTCAGTTTTGCCGGGTTTTCCCTAACATTTCTCTGTTTTTGAATGGTGAGGAATATCATGGGCACTCTAATGAGGAAGTATTATACAAGAAAGAAACCGTGTGGATGAAAACGGACTGTTTTTTTTAGTGCCCTGTCGTCGGCCAATTCGACGTGGTCGTACGTATTTGTGCAATGCAGTACATATCCAGGGGTGTGTGCGCACTGCCCAAGATCCGGACATCTCATTTATGACCACTGCCAAGCTCAGTGCGGAAATTTGAATCCGCATGAAAAACGAGCAGCATTTCAGAAAAAGGGCTCTTGATCTTGAAAGAAAATGAGCTGATAGTTTTTTTTTAAATCAATTTTCCAGACAGTATCACTGATGATCTGAGGGGAATTCGACACAAGTGTGAAAATTGGGCACTAAGTAAGGTGAAAAACACAGCAAATGACAAAAATGGGTCCCGATGACAAACGAAGTGAATTTCAAATATACTGTTTTCTTCCTAGAGGTAGTGACGTTATTTGTACATAAGATTTACTAGTCTTTCCTGTGGCATCAAAGTTATTTGAAGGTAAACTCAGCAAAACTGTGAAAATTAAAAACAAAGCTTACTAAAAACGTTTTTGTACCAGAAACTATTAAATATTACCATTTGATAGATTCTGGGCAATTTATTCACACACGAGGTCTTCAAGGGAACTGGCAGGACAAATCCCTCACATGGGTCACCACCGATATGCAGCGTCTGCTGGAATAACTTTTCAGACCGATGACCATTATGTCTTATTGCGCATGCGCGACTACGCAAACTAAATGCATGCACAGTCTATGGGGACCAAACATACGTGTGCTTTTCACGTCGGGTGGGGCAAAACAAATCCTAAACTAACATCCACCCAAATTCATCCTTGGAAGAAATACCAAAAACACTGACCTTTCCCAATGGGCCCCACATCACAAAGCCAGAATGGGCCTCGCACGGGAATAAGAAAGGGCGCAATTTTCCTAGCAACAGAGGGTGTCGTTGGTAGGAGCTGCACTTTGTTAGTTCACAAACGACTATGGCATGCACGTCTGATAAGGTCGCATCACTACCAACAAAATAAACACTCCCAACCAACATGACTTTTTTTCAACCCAGATGGGGGTGGTCTTCCTGATGGCAGATACGTCCTTAATTGCGGTGACACAGTGTAGGAAGACCTTTTTCGAAGAGTCTTTGAGGTTCTGAAGAGAAGTGGGGAAATTCGACATTTGGTCAGTGTGCGTCTATATTTCGTCGTCAGGGGGGTCAGCGTTCAGACATCAACAGTCTTCTGATCGTACTGTCTTGACCGTCTCCTACCGTACAGAACGTCGAGGACGTCAACTCTCAATTCCAATATCCGGAACCTCCCAAACACCAACTAAGACACGCGTGCACTTAGATAACAGATCAGCGAGTACAGAGTTCAACATGTTGAACCAGGAAGGCAAAGAGAAAATTCAATTTGCTAAAGACGCGGCAATAGAACTGAAATGTTTTTGATGTGGCTTAAAATGAAGGGTGGTGTACAGTTGGATGTTTATCAGTGACCGTTGGAAACCAATTTTCCACGGATAGTGATTTTGTAAAACCACATCAAGAAATGGAGAGCCATAAGTGTACTACTTCCTTGTTACACGCAGTACAATACGTGTGTTTGTGGTTTCCTGTGTCAGGGTTTTGATAGGAGAAAGAACATTTGTTCTTCTTTTTTTAGTATTTTCCCCACCAGTCCATTTGGTAGTTGTTTTTAAATCTGATCGAATTCCAACTTCGTACAGAGTTGACCTTCTGGTCAGAAATGATCCTAGATGGAATTTGTCAGTGTAATTTCATCACCTGTTCAGTTCCGTTATATTGAGGGGAAGTATTTCTCCACAAAAATTGTGTGCGTTTTGTTTTTCTGTAGCGTGAAAATTCACTTTTTTGACATTTTTGTCAATCTCATTGACTCCAGACACTTTACACACTTAGACAGGGACATGTTATAGATCAGAATACAATAAGCATCATGATGATATCACCAAAGCCAAGGTTCGTCACGCTAAAGGTTAAGTACTCAAAGCTCTGTATCTTCTGGAGATACGGGTTTGATTTTGTAAAACGTTGCAAATATTAGTCAGGGACGGGCTGCAGGCGAAAAGTGAGGTTAAGTCGTGACGTCATTGCATGTTTTAGAAAGGTAAAGAATTTTAAGGTTAATATCATCTGAGAAGCAAATCTGATTGCATGGGTTAAAAAAACCGCATGTGATTAGATATAGATGCAAACTGAAGTGACATAATGGTGTCATCACCATAATGGTGTCATCACCATAATGGTGTCATCATGTGACGTCATAATGAATGTGCAGTACTCCAAGCTCTATATTTTCTGAAGGGCAAGTCTAGTTTTATAGATAAACATTAAAATAACATCTTAAATAAAATCATCACCTGTTAAGATTATTTCGAAGATGTTGTGCAGCATTGTGGCTTTTGTAGAACAAGTCTGATTGGGTTTGAACTTAGCTTGCACATAGAGCGCTAAGTGTAAACAGTTTCGTTTCCAGCAATTAGTTTCGTCTTATCATGATAGTGCCAAACTCTACACAAGTTTCATTTAATGAACCCATTCTTTGTTTCTGTGGTCATCAATTGCATTTTTTGGTATTCAACCCCACACCCCAGAGCAAAAACAGCAGTCCGAGTGTTTCGTTTACAACTGAAATCTCCACTGATTCGTCATTTATGTTTGCCTTTTTTAAAAGCAGACTTGCCTATAATATGAAATAAAGAAGTAAAAATGAAAGTGGAGGCTAAATAACCTCTAACGTGCACTGGAATTATTTCCTTCTTCAGAACTCAAGGAAAACAAAACACAGACCTGCGGATGGAGAAGTAACTGTATCATTGCTTATGAATTATGGAGCGGTAATCTGAAACATCCAAGGCACTGTCACCATATAGGTAAGAATGTTTACGATTGTTTACTTTTTTGGCCGAAATGACCCAGTATGGTATTGCAAAACCGCCATGTCAAGCAGGAACAAAGCACGCGATTCTACGAAGGGCCGCGCTGATAGGGTAGACCTCGGGCGTGTCCCCAATGACCCTGACCGCGCTTCGATTTGGGCATGCACTGGTGGAGTACTTAGAACTGGCTTGTTAATATGCATTTTGTCACTTGCCTCACCAGGACCTTTGGTCACTCTTTGACGTCTTCAAAGGGTCAGTGGACAGTTCTGCTGATTGGACGGAATTTTGGATGTATAAAATTGAACTCTCCTGATACAAAACGTGCGTGGATTTGAAGTTTTGGGTTTTAAGGACAGACAGAGGTATGGAATCGCTCAACAACGACATTGATCTTGCTTTGATGAAATGTAATACTTCTGACCTATTGAACCTATGCTTATATAATGAGCAGCTCATAATGTGGCCAATCGAGGGCGCCATAACAGACTTGTCACTATGATGTCATCGTATGACTGTCTTACCCGCAGAAAACTAGACATGTTAATAAAATAACTTTGTTTAAATCTTCAAGACTGCACCGTTATGGAGAATTGAAACAAAAAATCTGATTTAGGTTAAGATATTTGGGGGGGGGGGCACCTTAGCTTTCTCCAGACCAAGGCAGATTGGCATTTTCATTGTTATTATACTTACACAGCTGTGTAGTGAGTCCATCTGCATTGGCACCTGTTGCATCAGAAGCTGCAAAGAAAAAGATGTTTAGCTTTTACTTTAAAATGGAAACTGGAAGAAATATCACAACATATTCACTGGTTCAAATTATGAGATTTTGTTAGCCTTTTCTACTTGGAGCACGACCCCTGGCAACAAAGTGTCACCTCAACAATAAAGGTGAAATTGCGGACCGTGGAGGTAGTTGTGACTTGCTTGTGTTGGAAAAAACGACTTACGACCTGACTTTGATATGTCAGAAATGACTTGCCACATGATTTGGCAATGATACTACCGCAAGAGCTTGAACCCCTCGAATTCCCCCGTTTTAAGTTTCTATTTTTTTTTTCGTTTTGCTACTTTGTCTTGTTCTCAAATCGAACATAAATAAAACCTCCTTCTTAATCCACTAGCTCTAATATAACCGTAAACTGTATTTCCCTTCGGGGGCAATTAGGAGACAATGGTTGTGACACTTACTTGCTTGTGTAATAGGTTTACCCGCTTCGGATAAAGTGTACCCTGAACCTAGAATTGTTGAGAAAAAAAGATGTCGTTTTAAACCAACTTGAAAAAAAATCTAAACCACTTTACATTGTCTGTATCAAAAAATTGTACTGCAATTTCAAAGCTTCCATTCTTTGCAAGATTGCTTTTTTTGCAATTAAACTTCAGGAGAAAGTGAATTGGATCAGCTCAACTAACTATTTTTTTTTCTCCAAAGTATATTCTGTCCTTGCACCTATACCATTCCATCAGGCAGAATCCGATTGTCCATTTGTCTGTACAGGTCCTGACTTATTTTAAATTCTCTATTTATAGGGCGATTATTTCTCGCATCTTCTCTCTCACTGAACAACAAACCAACTAGCTACTTCTTGAATGACCTCTGATTTTAAAGTGCCAATTCAACTGCGATGCTGATGGCATCACACCTCTTTGGAAACCATAAACGTTGTTTGTAGATTTATGATGATTGGTATTTCGGTGTTACGGAGAACCACCCTGTCATGTTTACTTGTCACTGAATCACATGTCAGTCTTACCTCCTGGAAAGGAAATTCATGTACGTACATTGATAGGATTCAAATGGGTTGCTGGCAAATCCCAGTTGGAAGTACGGAAATTCTCTGCTTTTGACACATTTTGTGGCCTTTGAAGTGGAAATCGAGTGTCTAAAACTATAGGGAGGAGGCGACATAGTATCCCTGCGTATGTCTGAGTTTCAAAATGATAATGGGTTTTTACGACTTTTTTAGGGATGATGATTTTCTTTGGATAGAAATATCTTCAAACGTCATTGATAAAGCCACCTGACGTAAACATGAATGAACAATGTACATGTAATTATGCTCGAAGTGAACTTTTTTTTCTAGAATGCCTGCGGGACTTGTGTTTCTCCTAGCTCTTGGAGTGGGAATATTTGTCATTAACACCCTTGGCAGCTCATTTGCTGAATTACAACCATGAGATGCACAGCGCCGTCTATAAATTGATTAGGAACACAACATGAGGCTGCAGTTTTTGGGTAGCCATCTTGTATTCAATACAAGTAGCGCATACCATTATGTTAGTGTTCTGTGGTATATACGGTACATTTCGTTAATAATCATTATTATGCAATTTCATATTCGTTATATTAAGAATGTTCAGTTCAGTGTATTGTCAGCGTTCAAGATCAAAAAAGCCTCTTTAATTGATGAGTCAAATTCATCTTGGATATATGTTCATATAATCACTGAGGAGTAGACATGACCAAAATTTAAAGAGAGGCACATGTATACCGAAAGATTGACATTTCTGTGTCCGTGAGATTGCGCATAGATGGAACAAATGCTGGAGTTTCTTCTTGTTTTCCCCAAGAATTGAATTTCGGTTTTCAGTTATTTCCGGACTTACCCACTCGCATTTCCCCATAAGGTCAAAATGTAAACTCGCTCGAAAGTTTTGGATGATCCCTCAGGAAACCCAGGTGCATATCAGTAGATCTAATTTTAAAACTGCAGAGTCGTTATTCTGTATACAGCATGACCCTTTCACCACTCGATCTGCAGCTGAAGGTGTCCGCGACAGGCTAATGTCTGCCTCATATTTTTTTACTTTGAATTCATGCTGTGAATAATTTGAGGCCTGGGTGTCATAACGAACGGGTTGATACTCTTCCTTTCTGTGCCAGAACCACTGCTTCATGACCTTTGCTGATTCTAAAGATTATAACAGCAAATGCTCTCTGTGCTTAGATTAGTTCGAAAAAATAAGTTCACTTCGGGCTGAAATGGGCTAAATTTCCACCTTATCTACTGAATGAGTGAATTTCATTCGAATTCATATTGTCCGTACAAGTCGATCGGAGGGAGTGACCTTTCACTCGAATGGAGTGAATTTGCACTATTGGGAATTTTACAGTAGATTTGGTAGTGATGATAGCGGTTAAAGTGGTCAAAGTTACTCGGTCACAGGGTGATCTTCCCACGGAATATCATGTGTGACATGTCGTCTAAAATGTTCAGCATGAAAGGAGTGAAAGAGATGAGTTGATTGCAGTGGTAATAGGGTCGTGGGTGGTACCTATGAATCACATTTCTTTTACTCAAGGTTTAACTCATAGTACGTTTGTGAGCAATGGAATAGTAAGAGTCCATTAATTTTCCTGTAGTATCATGTGCTTGTGTGAAAATTCTATTATCCCATTCCTCTCCATTGAGCTATGCTGCAATGGATCTGTTTAACATTATTGCGAGGGTGAGTGAGGATGGACAGTGTACTGTGGATGTGACCATGATTGTGGTGATACCACTTACCTGGCTGTGGAGAATGTCCGTCTTCCATTGGGATAGCCATCGATTTGATTGGGCTCTGACGAAAAACAAAACATTACGAATGTGCACTTTCTCGTGACAGCTAAAAATAGTTTAAACTACAGCGGAATTCGATTTTTATCCTTCTAATGTTTTGATAGATTTTTCTCCTTTTTTGTGGGGGGAATTAATTCGTAATTGCTTTGTACACGACGATGCCTATTTGCCTATTTGACGATTACTGCGTTGTCCAGAAAAGCCAATCCAATTTGTCAGATTTTAGATTAGATTTGTCAGATTTTAGAACAGATTTTAGTCTGCTGTCAACTTGAATGAGCCGTGCAGTGTGCATCGAGTGCATTTAGTCAGTTGTGACTAATTGCTTGCGTAACTGTGTTTAACCGGTTAGCCCAGTAAAGTGTTTCCAATGTGGGCGTTAACGGATACCATGTTGCTGCTGCATTAATCAGACATCTCAATCATAAGCAAGATCATGATGACGACATGGAAATAACAAAAATCAGGGACAATTAAAGCCTATACCTACAATCACTCGTCCCACACAGTATCTCGGACAGTTTTTAAGTTGAAGACAAAATATCGTATGCCGAAAAGAATATGGCGGCCTGGGTGGAAGGTCACCTTTGACACTAGACAACAATATCATAATGAGATTCAAATGCCAGTGTCCCAAAATATGAAAGCGCATACTGATTTTTTAAAACTCAGTTAATCAGTAAATCCTTGACAAACGGAGTAGAGCAGATGTTTTGCCCCCAGTTGTATGGTTATTCTGCTACTGGTTCAGCTTTGTCCCGATTTCAAGTCCGAATACAGTTACACTGCGCTCAACGAAGTAAGAAAAGTGGCCTAAATAGTGCTACTATTAATTTACTCCAAGAACAGCAGAGCTCAAAACCCCGATGGCTTGAGAATGAAAGGAGTATGACTAGTCATGTATGTGAACTATATGTTCACGTATACATGAGTTCACACACGTTCAATTTTTAAACCACTTGGTACAAAATCACGCTTCCTGCTTGTCCATGAAACATACTTTTTGACTGTATAAGTTCCATAGTTTTACCTCCTCAACGAATAAAAATACAAACAGCTTGAAATTGCTCTTTTTATATGATCTTACGAAAAGGTTTAAAGTTTAAGTTAATGAAAATCATCTTCTGCATTAATAAGGAAATCTAAGGCATTGCTTGTGCTTGGCCTATTTATGATCGATGTGTTGCTGGTCGGGTTTAAAGAAGACTAGTCATTATCGTAAAAAATCGAAAAAATATTCAACAGTAACTGGCACATGTACGAATCTGGGCTAAATTACACGTGTCGAAAGTCTGAATGAGCAGATATTGGAAACTGGGCGCCAATTTATCTGTGATTATAAAGGAAACGTCATTATGGCAAAGCATGCACCTTTGTAACGGTATTGAACATGCATGCTTTCCACATAGAGTTTCGCCGATCATTGTCCACCATTAAACCGAGCCGAAAAAAAGAAGGTTGCTACTTACTCTACGGCAGTTTTCCTTCAGTCGGAATTGATTTTCGAAGGGCGCCTGTACGATTTTCCTCCCAGAATCCGAATACTTCCTCTATTAGTACGGACCAACAGATACTTATGACTAACCGGTTGCAACATCGAACGTATGTACGTGTTAACTGCTTAGTATCGTGAACGACTCGAGTCAGCAGCTAGACCCTGGACTCTCCAAATTGTTGCCAAATTACTGTTCTGGCGTTCTGATTTTAAAAGCTACTTCAATTTATGCTTGAAATTCATCATCTTGAAATGTTAAGCCCTTGGAAATGCAAGACAGGATATGGCAGCTGGAATTTGAACAGAATATCAAGTAATTTGAGCACCTGGGGTTTGTTTTGTGCCAAAGATCTCCCGATTTTTGATGTGATCGGGGATTCCGAAACCGTTCTCCAACCACGTGATGATACCAAGTCATTAAATATTGATGGGTATCCTATCCCACAGAGGCGAGACAGACCTGACAGGCTAGGTAGCGGTCATTAACATACATCAGTAGCACTATATTAACTTCACCTGAAGGAGGGATCTGGAGTCGGATCATGCTGAAATTATCTGACTACAAATTGAGCCCCCCCCGCCAAAAAGTTTTTGTTGGTTATGGTCATAGACCACCAAGCTCCACTGTCGATACAGATTATGTAGTCGAATGTAGCTTTGAGAATGTCTCCAGTCTAGACATGGATGTTTTCATTCTTGGTAGTATTAACAGACTTGCAATGAATTTCTTTAAGCAGCCTCACAGGCCCTGATTCGAGTCGTTATTCTGTATAACATGATCCCTTCACCACTCTGCAGCTGAAGGGGTCAGCGACAAGCTCTGTAATCTCTGCCTCATATTCGAATGAATAACTTGAGGCCTTGGTTTCAACACGAACAGATTGATACTCTTCAGGAATCATTGCTTCATGACAGTTGCTGATTATAAAGCTTAAAACAGGAAATGTCATCTATTTTCAGATTAGTTCGGGGAAAAAGGAGTTCACTTCCTGCCCAAGTGGACGAAATGTCCGACTAATCGAGTGACTGAGTTTTTCAGTTGATCGGAGGGAGTGACCTATCTCTCGAATGGAGAGATTTTGCGCTCTTGCAAATTTTGCAGTAGATTTGGCAGTGATGAAAGCGGCTAAAGTGGTCAAAGTTACTCGGTCACAGTGTGTTCGTCTCACTGGATATCAGGCGTGACATGTCATCTAAAAAATGTTCATCTAATTGGGATCTGACAAGAAACAAAATAATGTGAATGTGCACTTTCTCGTGAAGCTAAAAATAGTTCAGTCAGCAGCATTTTTTTACTATTGTGAAAGATTTTTTTTCTCGTTTTAATTAATTTGTCACTTTTTCACACGACGATGTCATTTGCCAATTGGACGATTGCTACGTTGTCCAGAAAGCATCAATCAAATTGATCTTCCACAGATCGTAGACTTCAGTTTGTCAATCGTGACTAATTACCAGCGCAACTAATTTTGCCCCCATGTTTAATGACCTTTTCAGCCGGTTAACCCAATGAAATTTCCGATGGAGGCATAACCTGATACCACGTTGCTGCTGCATCAATCAGACATATAAATAATCAATGCGCGTGACCCATTATGGAAAGAACAAAACTAGGGACAACAAGCAAACATTTCACACCAACAATACTCGTCTTGCGCAATACTTCGGAATGACTTTTGGGTGACGAGAAAATTCGGGATTCCCCCCAAGCCCCGCTGGAAGGTCACCTGTGGCATTGGATAACGATATCAAAATGAGATTCAACTGCAATGCCCCGAAAAGTGAAGCCGTACCGATTTTTGTTTCAAAACTCAATCAGTGAATTATTGACAAAGGAAAAGCCCCACAATCCCATATGTTGTGCATGACTCAGAGAAAAGCGGATGTTATTTTTCTCACGGTAGTATGGTCTTTCTGCTATGGGTTCATTTTTTCCCGGATTAAAGCCCGAATACAGTGACTCTGCCCGCAACGAAATCTTGAAAGTGGCCGAAATAGTGCTACTTTTACTGTAAGCGAAGAACAGATAGCTCAAAACCAGCAAAATTAAATGTATGTGAACAATCGGGGCGTGGACTATATGTTAACTATATGCTCACATTAAATGACTTCATGAACGTGTAATTTTCAAACCACTGCATGGATACAAGATCATGCGCCCTGGTTTCCCATGTAACACAATTGCGTCCACTATATCACGTGACCTATAGTGTCTATCAACCCCATAGCAACGTGTGTTTTGAGTATTGTTTACAAACAGCCAAGTTACGGTACAGTGCCCAGCACATCAGTAGTCCGAGTACGGTGCCTACCTTCGATTTTATTTTCGGTAAATGTTACTTGTGACACACTTTGCTTTGGGTGGACGCCGTTTTTGTTGATATCTAATACCCATTCTACCTAGCTGGCGCAATGGGTCTATTTTCGACTGCGCCAATTCTACATTTTGCTCCCTCAACGGTTTAAAATTGCCAGCTTTCATATGATTTTGTTTAAAGGTTGGAAGTATAAATTAATGAAAATAGTTTCCCACATTAATTAGGAAATTTAGAGTCGATATGTTTCTGGTCGGTTTCAAAAAAGACTTGGGTAGTCAATAATCGTAAAAGATTCGAGAAATTATTCAACAGCAATCAGCACATGTATAAAATCGGGCTGCGTTACATCATTTGTGTTAAAAGTCTCGACGAGCGGTTTTTAGAGATTGGGCACCACTATGGCCATATATTCCTTATATGCACTCCACACTTAACTTAAAATCAATCAAATAGCTGTGTTCGAAAAGAATTACTCCAAAGTTCCAACTACCTTATGTATCTTTTAACCTTTTTTCCTGATGTAGAGTTTGTATTTTTATCTGGAAATGTGTAAAATTTTAACATTTTAAAGATTGTTAAGTAGAAACGCTCATTTTGAAAAGAGACAGTGGCTTACAAATACTTCACACTAACAAGATTACCGCAAAGAGCAATTCTATAATAGGCTAAAAGGTTTTTTCTTTTTCTGTTCAGCTAAATAAATTATGATGATTCTCGCCAGCACTGCTTCAAGAACCTGTCATGCTCACCACTTATCACTTCCTTTGCATTTTGTGCTTTCCTATATATGGGAGCCTGATGGGAGCGACGGATAGGAAAGAAAATGTGCACGTAAAAAAAGGATGCCATTAGCAAGTAATGGTTCCTTCAAACTTCAATGAAAGAAACTGGTGGATAGAATTCGCGATCTAGTAAGTGATTTGAATCAGCGGCACTGTAAATTTAGTTAGTTGGAAACTAGAGGTTCAACGGTTGTTAAAACAACCGCTGTTTTGGGATTTTCGAGCAAGCATTTTAAAAATTATTTCATGACGTCAGCATGACGTCATCGTGACGTCACATGAGGTCATTTATTTAGCCTAATTTTTTTATCAAGGTCTTTGTTGGCTATCACTTTTATAGCGATCAAACATTGCGAAAGTTTCAAAATAGTGGCTTGAAAATGTGTACAATGTCTACGGGCCTGAAACACCTATGCAAAAAAGCTGCTCCTTCAAGATGTCACGTGATTTGCGTTTAAAAAAAAATTGAAATATTATTCGATATTCGGACTTTTGGGTATATTTGTAATCGAACAAAGACGAAAAAATACGACGAAAAAAAATTTCCTTTCGTTCTCATAGTAATCTTCAATCGAAGTTCAGGACTACTCTCATTCAGATCGAAATATTGCGTAGC